TCTTGGAAGCATGAGCTAGGACTTCCCTGCATGAGGAAAAGTGTGTCAGGAGCATTTTTGAGCTGCCAGAGGTCACTGCTAGAAGAGAGATAGGACTTTGAGCCAGGATTATTTTAGTATGCAGTGAAAGATTTGTAATTCTCACTATGAGTTTTGCTCAAAGTGGAAAAGACCGTGCAAGGAGCATGGAATCCACAGCTTTCTTGCAAGCAGAGGAGATAGTTTATGCAGCCTGCGTTTGCATCACTTTGAATTTGCCAGCATATTTTGAGATCCTGCGGGACCATTATACATCTCTGGCTCCTCTCTGCCTCGATCAGATTGGTACAAGTAAAATTGCAGAGCAATTACAAGGAGAGACAGAGATCTGGTGGGCCAATTACATAAATGCATGTATCTCTTATAGTGTCTATCATGGAATTACAGTTATTTTCTGTTGATTGTTTTATCAGTATTTATCAGCTTTTATTGTAAACTACATTTCTGCAGTACACCAAAGAGGATCTCAGCTGTGTCCTTAGGTAGAAACCCAACCAGTGTCACTTGCTGTGCAGAATGACAAAGAGGTAAAATAAGCCCACTTTTTTTTCCTGCAGAGCGAGAGATTTAGTTGAGTGCAAATGCAGTTTCATTAGCTTGAAAACACGCAGACTGTAGAAGACCGAGAGATTCATTAGTTGTTTATGAAGTGCTTTGAGACCCTCCTGTGAACAGAAGTGCAAAATATGACTGTTTCTTTACTTTCTGTTCTCCTGCAAAATATCCTCTGGGGAAAAGGGTGTGAAAGGAATGCTTCCTGAATATTTCTAGCAGTTGATCGCAGCAGATACCCACGCTGCAGTGGTAGGAGGCCCTGGGCTGGAGAGGAAGTGCAACGCGGGCACTGCTGAGGAGGTGACCCTGGTGCAGGAAAGGCGTTTGGAGCCGAGCGGGGCCGGAGGGAGCAGCCTGTGCGGAGCGCCCCGGTCACCTCGGCTCTCACTGCACACCATGGGAGCGATGTGCTTGCTTTGCTAACAGGATGGAGCCACCCTTGCCAAGCAGCTTCCCATGTGGGTGCTGAGAATTGGAAACGTGTAGCATAAATTGACAAAAGGTTTCAAGCTCGGCTTGCTGTTTGTTTTTCAAAAGGGAGCGAAAAAAAAGAAAGTGCTAGTTTATACTGCAGTGTGAACACGAGCCTGGTCCTTGTGGGAAACGTGCAGGATGGCAGCCAGGGCTGCCTCGTCCTGCCGTGCGCGCGAGCGCTTCCGCTCATCCCCGCCTTCAGATGCTCCTCGGTTCAGTTCGCTGTGCCGGGGCCCCTGTCGGTGCGAAGCCACGCGGAGCTGTGGAAGCCCCCGGCCCGGCCCTCACGCTCCCTGTTGTCCTTTCGGTGC